AAATACCAGCAGCAGGGCTCGAACTCAGGACTTTCATAAGCAGAAGATGCATGTAACCCCCCTGGCATACATAAGAAATAATGAAAATAAAAAACTAAAAAGATGGGACGATTCCCCCGAGACATTCTATGAAGCTGAGGCGGCGAATCGGCTTACGTTACGATTAGAGATTTCGGCACTTCCACGCTATCGCGAGTAGTGAACATAAAACTTAGTCTTAACCAAAAGGCCAGGGAGTGAGGGGGTAGCCGCCCACTAGAGCATACCTTTCGCTACCCTCTTAGACCATCGTACTATGAAGACACTTATAGATATCTAATATCTAATTGGGGTAGTCTATTCGGTGAAGTTCTATGCTAATATATGACGTCACCAAAATCCTTTTGACACAGTAGTAAATAACATGTACAGCCCACTGAAACTTGTGTTTATAGTTTTATTTCTTTTATAACATTTAACTCATTATAGTCAAAGAAACAGTTATCTTTCATTYTCTTTCACCTTTCACCGTCTGTAAACCCTCGGAATGTTACCAAACATTGACACGTGGTGATATCGGTTTACCACAGGAAGACCGCCCTGGAGTCGTCAAGACTATCCAACTGACAGTCACAGCCTTTAAGCTCGGCGTCTTACTGATATAATGTGTAGTTTATTTCCTTGACATATGACTTTGTGGTGAAGTCATAGAATGTATCATGTAGAGATAACTGTAGAAGGCAAATATTTCAATTGATCAGGAAGGATGCTCACCATTGCAGCCATTGCGCGGTGTGACAACATGGTGCTGTTGTTGTGCTGGTGCGTTTCTTGCTGCAATTTTCACTGCTTTTAAAACTATGGTTCAACAAGAAGCGTTTCAAAGACGTTTTCGTTTACATCCGTTCCCACCCATTTYCAACCTACGGTTCACCGAACTTTCCCCTTAGGGGGAGGGCCGGGAACGGACATACACAGGCTTGATTTCACTTATAATGCGAAATATATTTTGTAAGGTCAATTTATAGAATATTCAGCTCGGAACACAACATGGTACTTCAAACCGCAGATTAGCCCAAAGAAAAACATCAATGGTTAATGAATTTCTTCAACCTTTCTTTTTAGTTCATCAATCACTGGAATCTCAATTTTTTTCACTTGTTCATTAATCAAAGTYATTAATCGCAAAAGAGAGAAGAATAAATTCAGTTTTCCTGCTTTTAATGTTTGTTTGGGTGATGTGACTACGGCATAAAGGACGTGCTGATGGAAGTCTATAACTCTTAAATATCRCATACTTATCACCCTTCTTGGCGGCTTTATTAAATTCCTTACTATCTAAAGTAAACATTCATAACTTACATGTAAGGATTTTTGGTTTAAATGTAATAAGCTGGGACATCGATCTGCTAGCTTGTTCCTATCCTGAGATAATACCAAAGGACTATTTCCAACTATGTAGTTGTTGTCACAGTGGCTTAAGTCCTTCTGTACAATGATTTCATTTGAATTGAAGTTTTATAAGTGACTTGACCTTGTGATAGAGGGCCATTATAAGATATCTGACTAGTCGAAGCKTGATGCCAGCGYGAAAAATACGCTATCGATAGCATCAATATGAACGCCCTAGTGACTAAAAGTCACGAAATGTAAAATTCAAAATAACCGAATGAAAATTCCTTAGAAAACACAYGAGATGAGGGGAAAATATGCTACTTCTAGCATTGTTTAATGGCAATACACATGACTTCAATTAACGAATTTCAAGGAGCTGATGCATTCAATGGTAGTGATGGCATTTGCCTGCCAGTAGTGTATGTGATAAAAGATTTCAAAMGTGCTGATAGAAATAGTTTGAATCTAAGGTGAAAATAGTTTGTGAAAGATAGGTAAAAGGTGGTAATGGGTTGAAATCATGATACTGGGTACTGAATGATATATAAACATATTAATAAAACAACGACAAATTAAATAATATTAAGATCACTTGTAAACTCGTTAATTTCTTTCAAAAACATGTACACGCTCTTTTCCAAGTATATAATGGATTTCCGGTCAATAGGAATGTTCACTGAACATACCGACTATGACAAGTTTTTTTTGAGGTGAGGGCGGTTGGTTTACATTGGGGTTATTCATACTTTCCAGTTTGTTTTATGATCTTGAAACTGTAAACCTCATTGACGATATATTGAAACCACATCATTGATTTAGAGAGCGACTGTCAAGATATGCATTGGACGGCAAGGACCAAAAAGCGCACGGTTTCTCTGACTAATCGTTACAGCTCAAAACAAATTCCTCTAATTCTAAATCGAAATTGATATTGATATAAATATCTGAAGCCCTTGAGAAAGAGGTATCTTTAATTGATCACAAGTGATGTGGCTCCAACYACTATTCACTTGGACTGGGTGGTGCCGTGGGTGGGCCGACGTTTCATTTCCTTGACTRATATCTTTGACKCYTTGATTAATAGCGACTTCTAAACAATAATATCTTGTTGCTTATAAAGCACAGTTTCACAGTAAAGAAAAGGAAAGCATTAATGTCAGTCATGTGGTGGGCAGGAATTAAACTATCCGTCCTGGTGCGCCATAGACATTTGATAAGTGGTTAAACGATGTCATCATTTGAACTTCGTTTTAATGAAACCATTTGCGATAAGAATTACATTCTTACTTAATTTGTACCAATCAATTCGTTAAAAGCCACTCGACTTTTCAAGTCTACTACAAACCTTCCTTTTAATTCAAATAGACAATCTACTGGACCATATTACGATAGTTACAGTTTTCGAAATTTTTATACCAAACTGTTGTGTTTTATCTTGTTATGATTCTCGGTTCACCGGCTGTTTCTTCTTAGTGACGTGTTATCTTGTAGATAGTCAACTGTTATTCATAATACGTCAGGAGAGTCGATTGTCTCCAAATTAGAAAAGTGAAACCGCAAAACGATAGCGTGATAGTTGAGATATTGGACGTGAACACATCAGGCGTCACATGGCACGCAGTTTTACACCACAAATCTCTACATAATTATTCCGTTGTTCATTCATCGTGTAATTAGATTTGAAGGGTGTACAAAGAGAGGTTTGTGTTTAACGCGGATTGGCTTAAAACAAGGTGTTAAGATTAACACTTGGTTTGTTTGGTAAAGTCACAAATATCATGAACAACAAAAGCATGAAGTTTAATACTAACTGACTTGATTAACTATCCAAGCTGTTTATATACCAAAGGAAACAAGGAGGGCTCCTACGAGGGACTTGATAAGCGTCGGCTGACCTTGATATATCGCTTCCTACCATTCTTCAAACAATAACTGAATGTTCATCTAGGGATATTTACTGTTTGACAATGGCTGAAACAGCAGTGAACTCTAACCTAACTCTTTCAAATCAGAGCATTGGGAATTCAAGCTCAAAGATCACAGCGGCGTCGATAGAGTCCTTAGAGTTCAAATACACCAAAGTAACATTTTATTTTGTGATATTATTCTGTGCTACGTTTGGGAACTCCATGGTCGTGTATGTGATTTGCACGTCAAGGAGAATGAAGAGCGCGTCKCACTTGTTGATCATGAATCTCGCTATCTGTGACTTTTTCACGCCGCTAATMAGCATTCCATTTGACTTTGCATTGGAAGAGAAAGGCTACGAGTGGTTTTATGGTGATTTTATGTGTAAAATACTCTACCCRGCTGCTACATTTAGTACCACAGCATCTTCATTGACTCTGGCAGCGATCTCATTGGACAGGTATCGCTTGCTTATGCACCCTTTCAAGAAAAAACTCTCAGCGCAACAAATCAAAGCTATAATCGCTGGAATATACGTCTTCTGTGCGACTATTGTTTCGCCTTATACKTATGTACTTAGTGTCAACAATAACCAATGCGGYGAACAATGGCCAAAGTTTTTCTACCGACAAATGTATACCATGTCGCTGTTCCTATTCCAGTACGCCATTCCTYTGGTTTTCATGACAGTCATGTATACACTGGCGATAATCAACCTGTACTCGACCTCTGGTAAAGTGAGACACTGCTCAATTCAAGGCACATCCCGWAACCAYACTCGAATGAATCAAAACGGTAACATTTCGCCTATGAAACGGGTATTTTCAAAGGTGAATCCTTTCCGAAAAGCGTCMAATTCAACYGAGGAAAATCCTAACGTCAGAGCGACAAAGATGTTTATGGCTGTGGTTGTGGTGTTTGCTGTTTTTATGTTTCCAAATCAAATAATTTGGTTATGGGTGGATTTTGGTAATGGCAGTGATCAAAACTATGCTCAAATAGCCATCATATGTTGGTTGTTTACCTACACAAACAGTGTAGTTAATCCGATTATTTTTGCGATATTCAGCAAAGATTTTCGCGTTGGATTCAAAGGAGTCTTTCGACTAATTTTTTGCTGTAATCACGAGGCGCTGCCCGAGCGATGCGGGCGAGGAGAGTATCATACCAAAAGCGACTCGTCTACTAATGAGATTTTGAAAGAAAAGGATAAGCAGCACGCTTTGGCTTATGAGATTTGTAATACTAACACTACCTACTCTGATACACTGACCAGARATGACTCTCAAAGCAATCGTCTTCTTCAAACGAAAGATTGGAATCACAACTCSAGTTTGAAGGAAGAAGTTGACAATTTTYCGCATYKTGAAAGGAGAGTCYCTCCACTATATCAKAGTGATGAATCCCATTATCCAACTAAAACAGAAACCGAAACKTCTCAAAGGCGTAAGACAGGCATTACGCATACAATACTCSAAGGGRAAGAAATMMAGAGTAAACTTYTGGAGGATAAGGAAACATTACAAGCCCAAGATAACATAATCCTTCCAGTTCTACCGCCAAATTCTATCGCAATCCTGGACAAGTTACCTGAAACGGACTGTTGAGAAAAAGACTGAAAAATACATAAAAGAAAAATGAAGAACAGCTATCTAGTGAGACTGTAAGTGCCGCACAGATGTGCAAGGTTACAAGTGATGAAATTTGTTTGGAAAAGAGGCGTAGCACGACTGATAATTCCAGATTAGCTGCATAAAAACTTTTCCTGGACAATAACCAGATATATCATGCCATGATTCACGATATAAAGCTGAACGGGTTTGATAACCTTTAACATTTACARAATCTCACGAAACATTTCCTGCAAAAGCACGGGCACGATATTTCATCTTGTTGACTATTTTATTCAAGATTTCTGATATTTCACGGGCTGACAGTCTATATACCATATACAGTACCAGACTTAAAAACCGTTATTTATTTGTTAAGATATTATTGTATATTACATGAAAGTCTTCATGGTGTATAATAATTGTATAGTGTACAATCGAGCATGTTTTATTGGAAAGATAAAAAGTAAAGCATTTATGTCCAGTAGTTTCTCGGTTCAATCCCAGGTATTCATGATCACTTTTACCCCTAAAAAGTATGCGAAATAACTAACTGACGTTTCGGACGTTAGTCCATTTTGGAAGAAAGTGTAAATGAAATAATTCACTGCGATTCTACTTTATTCACTTCTCTATTTCATTATGACACAGTATACATGTATTTACATCGAGGAAAGATGCTCAAAAACAGTGGAATTTTGGACTCGTTATTCTCAATTTATCGAGTTTTGATAAATATCATATATGTGAGATTGCTCATGTACATTTTATTTGATATGCAGTTACTCCGATCCCGCCCACCATATTACATTGTTTTGATGTGAATTAGATCAAACGTTTTTTTTTTTTTTTTTTTTGTCTTTTAACTATCGCTCATTTTTCCCTGTATTAATAAAATACAACCTAAAATAGCTTTTTAAGTAGGGATAATCGTTAAACGTCTACTTCATTTTAAGCTGGCTTTATTAAAAACGATAAAAACGAGCTGATTGTCTTGGGGATCGCTTGACCCGTCTCCTTTAGTTTTGCATGTTATGTATCGTTTTCCAAATTATTTTACTTGCCAAAGCATCAAATATGATCCTAGTGGGTGATGGTCAAGAGATTTACTTTTTCTTGATCAAGATACCTTTATCTTCACAGACAAACGTGTTATTTCTAGATATCWGTCCTACTGGATATCGCCAGATTTCTGTGCAATAACATACACACGACTGCACTTTGACAATCTACCGAGATAGTGTGGTAACAATAAGCATATGTTTCTTTATAACCCAAATAAAACGCATCAAGATTATGCTAGGTCGACTTAACATCATTCTTGTACAGCAAATAGTAGGAAAAAACTAGCTTCATGTTTTCATTTCTGTTTCTTTTTTTCACGCAACAGATAGATTCTGTAGAGCCAGACTTTTATGATTGAAATACTTAAATTTGTTTTTAACTGATATGTCCCTCCCACCCTTGAACTTCATGAAGATAATTTCAACAAACCCCATGCAAACGTAAGCTTTTATTCTGGTTAGTAGCATGCAATGCACCAGGCTAAGAAAAAGGTTTCGTGACCGTATAAAGTTCTTTGTGAAGTGTATCAGTTGATTTAAGGCTTATCCTGGCATATAAACACAGCTTATGGAAAATTGATTAAAACTTTATTATTTTCTTTGTAAACATCTCTAACCTTGTAACACGCGGCGGAGATTCTTTCAGCAAGATTTTGTCTTGTTTGTTCCAAGGACTGATAGTTAAGTTTTGTTTATAAACTACTTTGAATTTTTAAGTGGTTTTATACATCATAACAAACAGCAAAATTGTTACATTTGGTCAGTGAGTCACAACCGCGCAACCAATACGCACAGAAAGTGGCGTCAATACGTCATGAAATGGCGTACGGAAAGGCTTGCGTAAAAATACGTCATGAAATGGATTCAAATGATGTTAGTTGCAATCGTAAAACAAAGGCGTACGGAAAGGTTTGCGTAAAAATACGTCATGAAATGKCYTCAAATGATATGARTCGCAACCGTAAAACGAAGGCGTACGGAAAGGTTTGCGTAAAAATACGTCATGAAATGKCYTCAAATGATATGARTCGCAACCGTAAAACGAAGGCGTACGGAAAGGTTTGCGTAAAAATACGTCATGAAATGKCYTCAAATGATATGARTCGCAACCGTAAAACGAAGGCGTACGGAAAGGTTTGCGTAAAAATACGTCATGAAATGGCTTGAAACGAACAGTTAACGCACGTCAAAGGCATACTTCCCATTCAGTGAAGACGCGATAAATAATTTCCTTTTTCTAAGTATTAGGTGGTTCAAAGGTGAGGACGATTCCTTACTTACTGAGACGAGATGTACAGAGCCGAGAGAGATATCACAAACCTTGAGTACTTGAAATGTTCAAAGTAGTGGGACGGATCAAAGGGGAAAGGGACACGAAACTGACTTCCATGACGGAAATGAGTTTTTGATCGCGCAAATGCTGTAAAAAGTGAAATGAATTTATATCAAGAGGCTGTTCTTAATAAAGAATCACATTTTAATATAAAGTCTTCAATGAACTAAGTGAGAGGTAGTTTTTAGATTTACAGACAAATTTCCCAAACTGTGTTTGAGTAAGGAAATACGTAACCATCCACTTGTAGCAGGCGTTCCTTGCTAGTTCTTTATATTTTTAAAGTTTAAAAGGAAAAAAAATCTCTAGAGAAAAACAAACAAAGTAGCAACAGAAAAGAAAAAGAAGAAAAGAAAAAGAAAACAAGAAAAGAAAAGAAAACAAGAAACAAACCAAAAAGAAACAAGTTAAAAAATAGAAATACCAGCAGCAGGGCTCGAACTCAGGACTTTCATAAGCAGAATATGTAACCCCCCCTGGCATACATAAGAAAAAATGAAAATAAAAAAATAAAAAGATGGGACGATTCCCCCGAGACATTCTATGAAGCTGAGGCGGCGAATCGGCTTACGTTTCGGTTAGAGATTTCGGCTCTTCCACGCTATCCCGAGTGAACATAAAACTTAGTCTTAACCAAAAGGCCAGGGAGTGAGGGGGTAGCCGCCCACTAGAGCATACCTTTAGCTACCCTCTTAGACCATCGTACTATGAAGACACTTAAGATATCTAATATCGAATTGGGGTAGTCTATTCGGTGAAGTTCTATGCTAATATATGACGTCACCATAATCCTTAGGGAGCAGCGAGCCAATCGGAGCTCAGCTCAGGTTTTGCATAATCATTCTTCAGTGGATTCATTTTTTGATGGGGGTGGGGATGGGTTTACATGTATTCTCGAGGGAGCAGCGAGCCAATCCCGGAGCTCAGCTCAGAAATTAGCAAAGGCCGATTTATTTTTTGATGGGGGTGGGGTGGGTGCCGAGTTCTGGTTTGCGGCTGAATACCGATTAACTCGATGTAATGTGACGGCTTTCATCGAGCTGTTAAATTATCGTTATTGTTTTCCAAATCATCACAGCAACAGGTGTACAGTTCTTATATCCGACAGACATCAAAAGTATTCGGATGCTGAAAACACCACGAGAACAATCTCTTCAAATTCTGAATGTAAGTGGTTAACAGACCAGGCAGATACTAGCAAAAGATTTGCAAGAATCCGCAATGGAATAGAATTGAAGACCTCTGAACTTCTGACTTTACTCGAGCGTTCGAAATTTTCTTTCTTGGTGATATAAAAGTTTACAATTAAATATTATTGATCATAAACATTATTAAATCTAAATATAGTTAATGTTAACAATTGAAGAGGACAAAGTACAATCCGTACAAAATGAATAGAGAAATACTGAAAAACTTAGCTGAATCTTTGGGGTTTTATTGCAGAACTATAATCAGGTGAATAAGAGTAATTAATGTGCAAAATAAAATATGAATAATATAAACATTTTATCGAAGAAAACGTTCGAGAATTTATCATGACGAAATAAGTCAACAGATACAGAAAGATGGCTTTGACTACAGCTAAATTAAAGCTCTAAGGACTCCATGTCGTGGATAAACTGATTTCTTTCCGAATTTTCAGAAGTATACGTTTACTGTAGGGCGTCTCGCGTCAGGTCCCACGGGAGGAATGATCAAAACATCACAATAGGTTTCTTGGCCCCTGGGAATCACCGTCTGGTGTGTATTTATACAGCTATTTCAAAAAAAAACATTGTCGGGGAGAACGGTAATAGACTTCTGAACCTTTTACGTCACTACTTGATTTTCAAGAGAAAACAAAAGAAATCCGCCATGTTTTGTCCCAAACATGTCCTACAATGCATTGCGTATACGGTACATGACGTAAAAGCTGCAGAGGTCTATTGTCGAAGGTAGATTGCACGACCCAAAGGGATTATGGTTACAAATCAGCAAGTACCCATGGCTACTTTCGGTCGTGCAATCTGCAATTCGAAAATTGACATTCGCCATTTTATCCGACAAACCTTTTATGAATAGCTATATAAGCAACGTAATTGTTGATATCCATTTGCTGTTTCTTGTTCCTTGCAGCGTATACAGCTAAACGTTGAATACTGAAGATAGTGTATTCCAAGAGCGAAATGCATTGTGGGTCTTTCTATCACCCTTCACCATCATTCAAGTCCGTGTTGTGATCAAAAATTTCCAAGGAAAGCAATTAAAATTTGAATTGGCATTTTGTAACGCAGCAATCTAGAAGTTTACTAAATCTCTTACTGGACTTTGATTTCCTTTTATGTACGTAGCGCGGCGATCGGCTCCCGTCAAAGTCTTCAATCATAGTGTATTAAATGAGTGGGAGTTTTCAGATTTACAGAAAAATCCCCAAAACTGTGTCTAGGCAAGGAAAGACTATTATAACTTCATTAAAGATCGAAACCGATTCATATTATATAACTTTTTATTTTTGGTCACACGTGGCGTGACGAATCGGCTCCCGCTCAAATAGTCTTCATTGCACTATATGAGCGGGAGNAAAAAACTAAAAAGATGGGACGATTCCCCCGAGACATTCTATGAAGCTGAGGCGTCGAATCGGCTTACGTTACGGTTAGAGATTTCGGCTCTTCCACGCTATCCCGAGTGAACATAAAACTTAGTCTTAACCAAAAGGCCAGGGAGTGAGGGGGTAGCCGCCCACTAGAGCATACCTTTAGCTACCCTCTTAGACCATCGTACTATGAAGACACTTATAGATATCTAATATCTAATTGGGGTAGTCTATTCGGTGAAGTTCTATGCTAATATATGACGTCACCAAAATCCTTAGGGAGAAGCGAGCCAATCGGAGCTCAGCTCAGGTTTTGCATAGTCATTCTTCAGTGGATCCATTTTTTGATGGGGGTGGGGATGGGTTTACATGTATTCTCGAGGGAGCAGCGAGCCAATCCCGAAGCTCAGCTCAGAAATTATCAAAGGCCGATACAGGGTTTGCATATAATCATTCTTCAGTAGATTTATTTTTTGATGGGGCTGGGTACGGGTGCCGAGTTCTGGTTTGCGGCTGAATACCGATGAACTCGATGTAATGTGACGCTTTCATCGAGCTGTTCAAGGTGAACAGTTCTTATATCAGACAGACATCACAAGTATTCGGATGCTGAAAACACCACGAGAACAATTTCTTCAAATTCTGAATGTAAGTGGTTAACAGACCAGGCAGATACTAGCAAAAGATTTGCAAGAATCGGCAATGGAACACAATTGAGAAGACCTCTGAACTTCTAACTTTACTCGAGCGTTCGAAATTTTCTTTCTTGGTGATATAAAAGTTTACAATTAAATATTATTGATCATAAACATTATTAAATCTAAATATAGTGAATATTAACAATTGAAGAGTACAAAGGACAATCCGTACAAAATGAATAAAGAAATACTGAAAAACCAGCAATCTTTTGGGTTTTATTGCAGAACTATAATCAGGCGAATAAGAGTAATTCGTAATGTGTAAAATAAAATATGAATGATATAAACATTTTATCGAAGAAAACGTTCGAGAATTCATCATGACGAAATAAGTCAACAGCCGTACAGAAAGATGTATTTGACTACAGCTAAATTAAAGTGCGCTCTAAGGACTATTCTCGGAGTCATCCGCCTAACTAACTAACTAACTCTAAGGACTACATGTCGTGGATAAACTGATTTCTTTCCGAATCTTTCAGAAGGATATGTTTACTGTAGGGCGTCCCGCGTCAGGTCCCCAGGGGAGGAATGATCAAAACATCACAATAGGTTTCTTGGCCCCTGGGAATCACCACCTGGTGTGTATTTATATCAAGCTATTTCAAAAAAAACATTGTCGGGGAGAACGGTAATTGTCGAAGGTAGATTACACGACCCAAAGGGACTATGGACACAAATCAGCAAGTACCCATGGCTACTTTCGGTCGTGCAATCTGCAGTTCGAAAATTGACATTCACCATTTTATCCGACAAACCTTTYATGAATAGCTATATAAGCAACGTAATGGTTGATCGCCACGTGATGCTTCCAGTTCCTTGCAGCGTATACAACTAATTAACAAAACGTTGAATACTGAAGATAGTGTATTCCAAGAGCAAAATGCATTGTGGGTCTTTCTATCACCSTTCACCATCATTCAAGTCCGTGTTGTGATCAAAAATTTCCAAGGAAAGCAATTAAAATTTTAACTGGCATTTTGTAACGCAGCGATCTCGAAGTTTACTAAATCTCTTACTGGACTTTGATTTCCTTTTATGTTCGTAGCGCGGCGACCGGCTCCCATCAAAGTCTTCAATGTATTAAATGAGCGGGAATTTTCAGATTTACAGAAAAATCCCCAAAACTGTGTCTAGGTAAGGAAAGACTATTATAACTTCATTAAAGATCGAAATCGATTCATATTATAACTTTTTATTTTTGGTCACACGTGGCGCGACGATTCGACTCCCGCTCAAATAGTCTTCAATGGCACTAAATGAGCGGGAGTTTTAAAATGTATAAAAAAAATCTCCAAATCTGTGTCTAGGTAGGGAAAGACTATTACAACTTCATGAAAGATCGAAATCGATTCATATTATATAACATTTTATTTTTCTTGTCACACGTAGCGTGAAGAATCGGCTCCCGCTCAAATAGTCTTCAATGGCACTAAATGAGCGGGAGTTTTCAAATGAATAGGAAATATCCCCAAAACAGTGTCTAAGTAAGGAAAGACTATTATAACTTCATTAAAGATCGAAATCGATTCATATTATAACTTTTTATTTTTGGTCACATGTCATTGGAAAAAATCGCGCACCATAAAGGTTGTAAATTTGATGGAAATATGTTGTAAGTGTCCAAAATGATGTAAATTTGATGGAAATBATTTACATCAAATTTACATCATTTTGGACACTTACATCATATATACATCAAATTTACAACCTTTATAGCGCGCGATTTTTTCCAGTGCCGGTAGCGCGACGAATCGGCTCCCGCTCAAATAGTCTTCAATGGCACTAAATGAGCGGGAGTTTTCAAATGTATATAAAAAATCCCCAAAACAGTGTCTAAGTAAGAAAGACTATTATAACTTCATTAAAGATCGAAATAGATTCATATTATAACTTTTTATTTGGTGCACCTTTTGTTTCATTATCGACTAATTTGGAGTTCCTGTGGTTGGTCAGTGGTCATTACCACAAGGGCTCATAATAATGGCGGTCGATTTAACATTGTGAAAGTATTTGGAAGTTTTTTYGCGTTTTCCCTACAAAAATACAGAACGTACAAGAGTAATTTGCTTATAGATTGTTTTGATAATGAATCGTAGACTTGTTAAAAGCCAAAGTCCTGTARTAAATAAGTCTTTTCAACGTAAACAGCTCAGTAAATCGTCCAGATCTGCCGGCACGTGGATATTCGTTAACATTGYACTTGCTACTTTCTTCGTTACTGAACTGTGAGTATTATATTTTTACTAAACACATTGGAAAAAACTAAGACTCAAAACYTAGTTTGTAGTCCCACATGGGAGATATGCAATGCATAATATCAAATTCATTCAAAAATATATATGCAGTGTTTACACAATGCATGTTCTTTCCAGTTTGTGGGAATCTATAGCAAATTATCTTCAATGGCACCATCCTGTAATATGGTATACAGGTAGGCTTCAACGAAAGCTTCTGATCTTTCTAAGTTAGTAATTCCTAGAGACAAATCAGCACATAAATAATGATGCATCCAAAGGTGTAAATCCAGGGATGTCAACCCCCGAACTTTATATATCTGGAGAAGTTGACGTCAGTGACGTCAAAAATGACGTCATATTCTGTTTCAACCAATGGGATTAGACATTGCATAATCAGTTTATATATTTTTCATGCGCGAGCGTGCGTAAGAAACACCTGTAGATATTTCGTTCTGTGCATACTCGTCCCCAGTGCACCTCGGTCGTCCCTTCTCCCTTCGTTAGCACTGGTAACAGCCGTTTGAGGCTCGATGCTGATTGGCTAGAAAGTTCGAGCATGCGCGATTTTCGCCGTACATTCAACCGTCTCTCCTCGMTCTTGATTGGTCGATTTATAAGGATACTCGGAGCTTTTTAGATGGAAACCTAGTGCGCATAAAGCCAAATAAACAAAGCTGACCTTTTCCTAACGGGCTCAGGTCGAATTTCAAAATGGCGGATGAGT